TGCACAGCATCTACGAGGTCTTCATTTTCTGCCTGCACAAGTGGGTGTCGTTCACACACAGTCTCTAAATCGAGTGTAGATTCTGCATCTATCACTACTTTGGCATTTCTGTGTCTCAATTAATGACCTCCTCATTTTGAGTCAGTGGCATTGAAACATTATTTGTGGGTACAAAGTTTTCATAATCAGAACTGGAAGTGTCACTGTCAGTATGGTCATCGTCAGGTCTCACCGAACCGTGGCGAGCCCCGCTTGCCAGCCACGCTGTCCAGCGATCTGCGCATTGCCAGATCGCCTGAACCCAGCTCTTCTGGGTTACAATCTACTCGCCACAGGCGAGTAGATTATATTATTTGTTGAGCACTGATCATCGTCTAATGACTGAGATGTCTTTTCCACAAGGAATGATGTTATTAGCTTTAAACTGTTAACTGCTGCTTCACTCTGTTGCTTTCACTGTCTCTTACTTGCACCCCTTTCAAATCTTTGCTTCATTTTTATAAAGGCGTTTGTACAAAGTCAACTCTCTCTGCAATCGTCTCTCGATAAATGCTTTTATTGTGCACCCACATCCCACCCCGATCCCAATGAGTTTCTACGGGGTGTCTCGTCCCAAAAGCCATTCCAGTCCCTCTCACACTGGCTGGTCATGCCTTGAGCAGGGGGGTGTGGGGTAGGGAGACTCCGGCCCACCCACTCTCCTGAGTTCCAACCCAGGGCCCTAAGGCAGGAGACAGAGGGAGAAGAAGAGAAATAGCACTGAGCTGCTATCTGCTCTGCTTCTGTTGGTGAGAGGACGTGTTTTTGAAGAGGTGGTTTGAAGATACTCAAGAAAATGGGAGCACATCACAGAGCTGCTGTGTCTGCACAGGGTTGTGAGTGTCCAAGGCTGGCTCTGACAAGCCTCTTCTCAGCGGGTGGGGTAGTAACCCCTAAACTCACCCGCTCTCAGGTTCCACGGCCCCGCCGTGGTCCACTTCTTATCCCGCCACCTTTGTTCCCCTCTCCCCAACTACATTGGGGTCCGGGTTACCCCACTCGGTGTCATGACTCCCCTCCTGCCGGCCTCCATCCTGCCTTTCCCCTGTCCTTCTTCGGGCCTCCATTTCAAGGTCCCCGCTGTCCCAGAGGGTGACGTCGTCACCTGGCGCCATCGGGCCATTGCTCTCGGCCTTGATGTCTTTAGCCGGCGTCCCCACATTGGGTCGCCTGGCTGTGACGTCATCCGCCTGCGCTGGCCGGATCTTCTGATCAGCCTTCTCGGTGTCGGGGTCTGGTCAGGCTTGGGCTTTGGTTCCTGCATGGTGGCCCCTGCCGCTTCCCCGCCAGCCTCTTTGCCCCCCAGTCTCCTCTCCTGAGGCCTCCCCGGACTCTCCTGAGTGCACCCCATCACAGCGTTCTTTTAAAACATAGCAACACATAATAAATTAATTCGCTAAAGGCTATCAGTTATACAGAATTTTAATTATAATATTTGTTGTGAAGTATATACAATAACGGTTTGGGGGCGTTATTTACTACAGCCCTTATAGCCTTATTTCAAAGTCTTGAAATTTCGTCTGCTAACATGCCCCTATTATTAAATTCCTCTAACTGGAACAACTAGAATTAAAAGTTTATTAGCACAAAAAGCCTTTAAAGGTGAATCTAAAACTGATTGAAGATGTACTTGCAGTTGAACCTGATACGGTTATTGTATACAAAAACACATCATAAAAAACAGGAATACAAGTTTCCTATGCAGAGATAAACATCTCTTTTAAAGGTTAAACTCACCCTCAGACCGAGCAAAATCACTATACAGTAACAGAATTAATTATAACTTTAGAGGTTTTGAAACTATGCGAAGACTGTAAACAGTGTTTCATAATGTAGAATCATTAATCACAGAAGCTATTCCAGTCATGCAGATAAAAACTCAGATGTGACCAAAAAATTGGGGAAGGCCCAAGGTCCCATGATGATTTAAATCAATTTTTGCAGGTATATGCAGTTTCTTTGTTGTCTCCATTATAACTGCAAGATGTATAATAAATGGAAATGACTTGGTAGAAAAATGTCAAAATTTGAGGCCCCTTTGTCGCCTGGGCCAAATGGCCCTCATGGCCCCTGATAGGGCCTGTCTGTGTGTTGTCCCTTAAGATATCCCTGCAGAATTAGATTGTTTTCTGACTTTCATAGTGTCTGTTCTGATCAAACCAGTGTATTAGCAGTCTTCCACAAATAACATACCTGAAACTAATTAACTGCTCACACAAAGAATGTGGGGCATTAAAAACCTGTTGGCACAGGGCCAGATCCACAGCTTATTGCCTGTGTGTAGTTCAGTTGTTTTGAATAATTCATGCTGGTTGAGGATAAGGGCTTTTAACTTTTCAATTGGACAGTAGGTACCTCTGTTTAACTCTTAATAGCCTGATAGTTTTATTTCATGATATTGAAAACCAGCAATTACCTTTTGTTTAATGACCAAAAAACAGTGGCTGCTATCACATCTGCCTATGATAGTTTGCAAGAATTATGGCAACTAAGCACTCTGTTTCTGAGAAATATGTTAGAACAGTGCTAGTCGTGATGTAGGGCAAGTTTTAAGTTAGCACAGTTAGGGCAAGTTTCTTTGATTAAATAGAATTGTCCACACTGGAGCACCACCACGCAGTTTATGTATGAAGGGTATATGTAAGAGTCTCTAGACACTAGAAAATGTTGAAGTAACCCTAAATATACCTGTGTAGTTATGACAATATAGCGAGAGAGAGTCTTCTAAGTGTATTTACAGTAATGCATACTATGTGTTAGTCTTTCCAAGGACTAAGCCCCTGCTCAGAGGACCATCTAAGGAT